GACCTCTCCCTGTACAGTCTTTCTGTGGGGAGGTCCACTTACTGCATTTCATATGCTCAAGCATGATTTTACCCTTCCCCTGTGCTTCCCATATTTACATGTCAACTAGTTTCCCTCAATTTCTACTCTATTTACTACAAACTCCTCTCTTGGCACGCTAATTATAGGTGAGTGTGATGGCTTAGACACAAGGTCATTCTCATTTTCAAATTTGGAGTGTAAACCAGAGAGTCACCAACACATATTTTGTAATGCGTTATTGTTTTAACACAGCATAGGCCACTGAATTTGAACTTACCCTTTACTTTCAAACATGTACTTTGTATTTTATTGATCTATATTTTTTTCTGAAACAACATGGGAGCTATCTTTAGTGTGAGGGCAAAGTATCAGACCTTTCACAAGAAAGAAAAGATGAGCTCCCACGACATATATGCTTCATCTAGAAACACTGCTGATATTGCTAAAACCAGGATTCCCAAGCAATATGGAATATGGACAGGAGCCAAAATAAGGCATTTTATACTTACATATAATATGGGAGTATTTTCACTATTTTTAAATGCTTACAAGTTACAGAATTTGGAAATCCTATGACTTTAATATGCATAGCTAACAATCTGACCCTCCTATCTCAAGACACAGTTGCAGAAGCAGGGGCAGTCATTGTACAGTTAGAACACCATTCTCTGAGGTAGCAGGGCTGGTGGGATAGAGAGTAAATGCTACTGGTGACAGCGGTCAACAAGTGTTTATGTGCCCAGTGCTTTCCTGGGTCCGTGGTTCAAATCAAAGCAGCTGCCGTCTTGAGCAACGGGAGGCGAGACGCTTAGAGCAAGACCACATGCACACCCCACCCTGATTATACCAGAGTGGCAGCACCGTGTTTTATAGAGGAGGACCAAAGGATGAAAAGGAAGTGGGAGACTAGTGTTTCTCTTGAAGCTGTGTGAGCCACGCATGGTTTTTTCACAGATTGTGTTTCATGTGGTGTGGCTTAAGGTGCCATTGACAAGGCCACTGCACATCTATCTACACCAGGCAAAGAAACCTCAACCCCTAGTAACTGTGTCCCCATGGTTGTAGCAACCCTGTTCCATGTCTTTTCCCCCACTTTTCTGCTTTTGTGTTTAAAACTGACCCACGGAATCACTCAAAGTCAAAGCCATTACGATAATGGATGACCCAACTCCCTCATTTTATGAATACACTTTACGAAGAAATAATAATAATAATAATACCTACAGAGTATTTATTAAATGCTAGGTACTGTTATAGGTTATTTACAATTGGTATTTCTGTTAGCTTTCACAGCACCATTACAGGTAGATGATGTTATTATCTTATTTTTAAATGGGGAAACTGAGGCACTGGGAAGCTATGAGATGGATCCAACATCACATAGGTAATGATGGAGTTGGGATTCCAATCCAGCACTTTGACTCCAGAGCCCACAAGGTATAGACAGCAAAACTATGTAACTGTGTGGAGGAACCGGTTGATGGATCTTTAAAAGTGGTGGTGGGAGGAACAGAGGAAGAAAGTGAGCAGCATCACAAACAGATAAACTTCTTTAGTTGTTTAGTTGGGGAAGGTGGAATCCCTTCCATTCTGCTCTAGAGAAAAGCCTTTGGAAAACAATACTTAAGGACATAACGTCTACATTTTGACATTTTGGCTCTAGGCACTTCGGGGTTAACAGAAGGGAACCCAGGGATTCAGAGAACACAGAGCTAGTGGTTCTCACATTAATTTTTGAGGCCTTTGGAAATCTGATGAAAGCATTCAGTCCTCTTCTCTGAAAAAGCATTTACACATCTGAGCAGGTATTTTCAGATACAATTTTACAAGGTTTACAAACTCTTTGAAGTCCACTTTTATCAAGTGGACCTGACAACACCTTTAGAACACCTGACTCAGAACAGTGAGCTCACAATCACAGTCAGCTTCTACTGTATGATTTTGACTGTATTTTCCTGAATTTTTCCATGTGCCGTTCCTACCACGTGGCCCCCTGCAATGGCATCTAGTTTAAGGAGGGAGCAGGTAGAAATATTATTCTCTGGCGATATGCTGGCTTTCGACTAAAACAAGTTGTTTTTAGTTGCTTTTAAAACAGAAGCAATTATTTAATGACTAAATTTCAGAAGTATTAAATTAGCATTCATTATTTGTGACAATATTCATTAAACTCTTTTTAATGATCCTAAATACTCTCAACATGATAATTGGTCCGTAGTCTACAATGATTTGGGTAAGTCTGTGCAAAAGAAATGATTATAGTAAGAAATTTGTCTCAAACCCCAAACTAGATGGGACCCTCCACACACACACACACACACACACACACACACACACACTATATATAGTCTTAGATAATCTTGTTCTCTTATCCTTATACTCCTCACGTTTGACTGTAATTGCATATTCAATGTCTATCATCCTGCAAGTTTGTAAATTCTGGAGGATTGGGAATCAATTCTGTATTGTTAAACTCTATGCCCCACCCCCATCTCCCAGTGACTGACACCTAAGAGACAGTTGATGAATCTTTGCTGAATAATAAGTGGACAATAATAATAAATGAATAAAAGCAATACACTTGAAGGGTAATATGAATAAGTGTAAAAGATTATTTTAAGGTCTGAGAATTAACATCCAATAATTTAACTATGACTCTCTTATTTTTATATTTTATACGTTTTCATTGTTCTTTGGCAAAAAAATTCTGGCAGTGAGGGATTTTTTTCCTCTCTAAGAAATCTTTTCTTTTTCTGGATATAAATACATTTGCTGCTTTCCACAAACCACTGTAAGATGACTGAAGCATATTATATTCATTTCATTCATGAAGAAAGTGATGTTCAGGTAGTTTAAGGGACGTTTTTACAGTCTCAGAAATCTATGATTTTTTACTACAAGTCTCACGCTCTGTCATCTGTAGTACATTTCCTTAGGCAATAGATGCTCTAATTTTTATTCTTGTGCATTAGCAAAAAAGATAAGTGGACTCCGAGGAGGACTAAATGCTAGTCCCAACCCCGCCATTTACTTGATCATTTAATGCCTATAGGCATCCGTTTCATCTATGAAATGGAGGAGTTGGGTTTATGATCTCTAAGATGCCTCTTATCGCTGCTATGAACTGCAGGAGAGTAAAAGTTTAAAGTAACAAGAATCTAGGGTGTCAGTGAATACATGGCGTCAGGATGAACACGGTAATTGTCCATTTATATAAACATTTCTAAAATTCAGACTGAAATAAATCTTAAAATAAAGATATGTTGGAGATGATATCAAATTAGCTAAAACACTTTGTGGGTCCTCTCTTGTCAAGAAAGCCCCATTTCTTTTGCATGGGAAATGAAAGAAAATTAAATATCAAAGGCAGCATAGGGGCTGAAAATAAATATATTCATTCCTTCATTCAAAATGAAAAAACCCTGTGAGCATTTCCCATGTGCCAGGCACCATTCTAGGCCTTGATATCAGCATACACATTATCAGGATATCAGATCCACGGATAAGAGTCAGCTTTCACCAGTGTGTGTCCGGCTCCAGGAGACAATGCCCCATTAATGTTTGCTAAATGAAGAGAAAAGGAGGAAGGAGAAGGGGCCTGCTCAGGTACTGGAACCCACACAGACACCTTAACTGTTTCCTGGTGCTAGAGTTCCCCCATGTGCTTCCACTAACAAGCTATATCCTTGAGTTCCTGCCTACTCTGTAGAGAAAACTTTAAAGGCACAGTCTGGTATTTATGTGTACTAGAGATGGCTCTGTACTCAGGAACTTTGGACATATTTAAACACCTGGAAAAAGAACATTAGAAACAGCTATTTGTAAAACACTTCACTTCTACAAAATAAGATTTCTGTCCTCTTTGCTTCCTTCTCACTGAACTGCAGAAGAAGGCTATGCTTACTTCTACATGTATTCTGTGCATTTCTGCATAGGCAGCATTGACTTTTAATTTTGATATTCATGATGTTATGAATTTTATGAATGCATACACATGATAATTTTGAATATTTAGCATCAGGTGAAAATATGAACAAATGCCAATATAATTCCTCTACTTTTGAAGTTATGGAAGCTCTGAGTAGCCAAAAGGAAGAAGTAATATATCACATTCATGCTATCATTTCAGATCATTTAAATTCTACAAGTTACCATTGCCTTTTACCCATCAATCACTTGACCTGGTCCAGGATGACCCTGAACAATTCAACTTTCAAAATTTACTTTTGCTTACTAATATTCCCTCAGTAGTGTTGACACTTTTAAGCTAGAGAATATCAACCCATAAGAAATTTATTTTTTATAATTTTACAGATACCTTTATTATTAAAATCATTTAGTTGCAGTACTCCAATCCAGCACAAATGAGATTATACATTATTGGGAAATAATTATAATTTGATTTCCTTTCTTATTTTATAATTTATGTATATATTATTGAAAAAAATTACTTTTTATTTTTTTAATAAGAGTTCAATATCATGCCTTCTCAGCTGCTTCTAAGTTAAAACTTTAATTCCAAGCTAATGTTGAATTATTAGAAACATTATTAAGTATTTCATATAATTGCTAACATTATATGGAGTTAAAGTTTCTAATTGGTCTTGATCAGGTAAAGTTCTTCCTAAAATAAAGTACAAAACTGTGCTTTTTGCTGAAAACAAATCATAAAACCAAAAAAGTAAATATTAACTTTTTATTTCTATTTTGTCATAAATTTGTCATTAAATTTCAAATTTTAATTTAAATATACATTCCATGGCAAAGACTAATATTTTCAACATTCTGTCCCTTCAACACATACACAAGTCTAAGTTTTCATTGCCTGTTGAAATATATACAAGGTTAAGTGTAGCCTAAAACTAACATTCAGTTTGAATACTTTCCTTCCTCACTGGCAATTCATTCTCATTCTTTCATTTTCCTCATCTACATTCTTCAGCAACCTGGCAAGTACCACCTTCAGGGCCAGTACAAACCTTTATTGGTCACTTCCCAAGCGACTTCAAAGAGCAGTAAATCCTGCACGGGAAGTTCTTCAACTTCCCACTGAGGAAGCCCACTCAGGGATGTCACAGAGAGGGACCGGCCTCGGAGCATTCTTATTCAGTCCTCAGAAACTTTTCTGAATCCCCCGTTCAACTGACTGTAATCCCAGGAGCGGTGCGCTTTAGAGACACGCAGGCTCAAAGCTGGTAGATCCCAGGCTCTGGTAGCTTCTCATAGGACGAAACCTGAGGAATGAAATCCCATGTGCTTCTCAGAGAACTCCCGGTTGAAGGAGGAATTCTCAGCCCCTCTTTACAGTCTTTCTGGGCAGGTCCACTGAGGACAGTATCTCCAGTCAGAATCCACCCAGACGACCCAGAGAAATCACAAGTAAAACCCTTGGGCCTGGGGTTTAGGCAAGCACCCCCTCCGATGGTGGCATCTTCATAGGCTGATCATGATACAAGCCCAGACCTTTAGCCCTTGTACTTTGTACTGAATTCCTATACTCACACGGTCACCCGTGCTTATTGCATCATTCCCAAAGTGATCCAAGATTAGCAATTCCCCTTATAAAGTTTGCAGACCGTTTCAGATTACATGCAAAATTGAGTGAGACGTGATTCTATGTGTTCAGTCTCTTTAGATTGCCTAAGTATTGTTCTTCGATTCTCATTTCTAGAGCATTAAAGAACTTATTTCTAGTTATTTTGTTCTATATCTACAAATTTAATTTTGAAGATAAGCACAGAGCTTGGCTTCCCTTTTCTGAATCACTTTTCTTTAAAATTTTCCTGTGAAAAAGTACAAACGCCAGTGTGTCTTTGAACGTAACATAATCAAAATGTAGTTTTGACCCATCAGTGATTATTAGATTATCATTTTAATGAGATAGTAGAAATTAATTTTAGTCCTATTTGTACGTTTACCTCAAATATTATCAAACTGATAAAGAATAATTTAATTGATGTAAAGCTATTCAAATACGGAGGAAAATTGCAAAATATATTAGGTTCTGAAATACGACCAGGGTCACCTTACCAGTAAATGCCTTATATTTATTTTTTCATGTGATTATATGTATATAAGTATGTATGTGCTAATTTATTTACACATACACACAGATACATTCTATATTGTTCCTAAATGAAGTACTGACTGACAGTCACAAGCATGCTTCATTTTGAAACATCTTACTTTACAGATTTAGCCTATAATCAATATTTTTACATTATCTTTCACTATAGCAGTAGAATTGAAATTCACACAAAATATCCTTCACATTAGAATTGCAAGCAGAATTCTCAAAAAATAATTTGTTACTTGTTAGCACTATTACTATTTTTATTTTTATTATTTATTACTACTATCACTATTTGTTACTTATTAGTAACCTTTTATTAGGCCTTTAGCCATTTTCTATATAGTTGGCCTGACTTAAGTCTATTTTAATGACTTAAGGTAGATAAAACCATATTTTATTATCTGATATTAATAAATCAAAGTCAATCAAGTAGATTAAATGTCTTCCATGATTCTTGGCATATTTGATTCTTATCTTTGTAAAAGTAAATTTAAGTAGTTTATTATTCAGTCACATGGTAAGAAAAAAAGTTATATGGCTAATCAAGAAAATCAACTACTAAAATAGTCAAGATAGAAGCCCAATTTATCAAAATAACTTTTTCCTTCACAAAATTATTTGCTCATGTTGACATAACTCCTGGGAGTCCTGCAAATACAAATTTCAGTAAAACCAAACAGAAAGGCATGTTGACAAGAAGTGAGAATGGGATGGCAGGGTGATGACAGAGCATCAGGTTTGTAGTGTTTAGTTGCAGCAACCCTGAGATTGCTTCTTCCAGGGCTGAGCAAGCCCTAGGATAGCCAGTTCTCAATATCCAAATTCTACTGTAAGGCTCTATTCATGTACCAGGTACCACGTGACTGGGGCAAGTTCAATCTGCCGCTTACCTAAGTTTTGGTCTTCTTACTAAAATGGCGATAAGGTCATTTCTATAAGATACTTAATATAGTTCCTGGCACTATACCAACTACTTCAGTAACTTTGCAGTCTTATATGAAAAGACTGGTCTAGTGGTCTATTAAAAGCTTTCTCTAGAAGCAATGGTTACAATTGAAGAGGAAAGGAATAAAAGGGAAGCTTATTTATTTTCCTTTATTTTTTTTTAATTATGCCACATGCATATATTTGTTATCTGCTCAAATAATTAATTACATTTTGGGGGGGGAAATGACCTTACATCAATGAAAATATTTCATGGATACTAAATAAAAATAAGTAGCACACAAAGAAAATAGATAGTATGATTAATTCAATTTTGTATGAAAGTATACATACACTTCTACTCGTGAAGTATGTATGAATAGAAGACTGAAACAGATATGAACAAAATTCTTACAATGGTTTTCTTTAGGTGGTAGTGAATACGATTAATATTTATGTGGTCCTTTTTCTTTACTAGTGTTCTACAAATTTTCTGCAGTAAATCTGTATGCATATATTCATACTATACACAGGATAAGTAAAACAGTTTTTGAAAGCTTAATCAGATCACCTCATAATTATTTCATTCACTCCCCCTCTCATTAGTTTGACTTTTTGAAATTCCTGGTTCTTGGCACTCAAGGTTTTGCCTCAACTACCAGCACTTTCAACAACATATCATCTCCTAAGGACCCCTCAAAGTAGACTTATAAGACTCCTTTGATCCTGTTATCCCAACATGAGGACACACTTTGCCAAGTCTTTGCTTTTTAGTCATGAATGCCTTTTTAAAAATTGCTCCTTGAATCAGCAATGATGAAATAAGTGGAACCATATGAAATAAGGCCATCAAATATATCTTTATCCATGTTATCTGGTTGAATCCCCCTCTTTCAGAAATATGTGAGAAAAAGGCACTCATTTATGCAATAATGTCTGGAGGAGATTCAGAGAAAGTTCTCTGCTTCCTTAATACTCTGAAAATCCTGACTACTCTCCTCTAAGATTTATACTAAAAGCACAAATTAATGAATAGATAGCAGAAGGGAACAGTCATCCAGAGAGGGAGGTTTGGTTTCTCCAAAAAGGGAGAAGGTGTATCAAATATTTCTGATCCCTAATTTCAAACTCTAACATTTTGTCATTCAATAAAAAAAGGGGAGAGGACAATTAGGAAAAACGGAAGGTTCATGTTAGGTTCCTTGGTAAGTATTCCAGCAGAGGTCACTAGATAGATTTAGAAAACCACACATTTGCTTTCACATTTTGCAATCATCTTGGAAGTCTAGAATTTCAAAGGCTTGATTAGCCTGTACTTGCATATCCAGAAATATTCAGTTAATGTATTTATGAGCACCTACTATGTGCTGCTGTTCTAGGAGCTGAAGATCTTTTCAGTAAACAGTAGACAAACCCCTGCCTTTGTGTGAACAGATAGACATTAATCATGTAGACAAATAAACAAATTATATTATCTCAAGTGCTGCTAAGTTTCTGAGGAAGAAAAACTGCAACATGGTGGAGTGCCATTCGATAGAAATGGGTGTTTTAGCTGGGGAGGGCAAGGAAGACTGTTTTGAGGAAGCGATATTTGAACTGAGGCACAAATAATGAGAAAAAGGCAATACTTGAAGATCTGGGAGAAAATATAGCAATGCCTTTAACTCTTATAGGGACAGAAAGATGTGCCTGGAAACCAGAGCATAAAGAATGAGTGGAAGTCTGGAGGGGAGGACGTCAGAGAGCAAAGCAGGGAACAAGTCATAGAGACGCTGCTTGAGAGCTTGCATTTTGTCCAGGTTGTAATAGGAAGTCATTGGGTGGTTTTAAGCAGGGGAGCAATGTGGTCTCATTTATGCTCTGAAACAATTTAATGGAATCTTGAGAAGAGCAAGAGAGGAGGCTTGGAGTCTGAGGTTATGGAGCCTGCAAATCAGTCACACATTCTAGAACGTGAAACTTCATCCATTATATAAATAATCTCCTATTTTCTTCTCAATGTTATAAAAGCAGCAGTGGAAATTAGATACTTAGCATTTATTCTTTTCCTCTTAAAATTAAAAAGAGTGCTTTTGTTTTCCAAGGTGGCACCCCTACGTATTTCATTTCTATGCTCTCACCTGTGTGTTGTCTGCACCTTATTATACATGTGTTGCTGTTGGGACGACAGGAACAGAATTAAAATGGAAAATTGAATGCAGTATGTCAGGTGCTATGATTATAACCTTCAACTTCACGAAGTTTATATCCCAGCGGGGAAAGCCAGTATTGAACAAGTAATTAAAGGATGTTGAGGGTGGTGAATTATATATCGGGTCTGTGAACTGAAATTCACAGAAGATAAATTCACATTATCTTCTAAAATAATAAGAGTTAAAATTATAAGACATTGATGAAAAAAATTGAAGAAGACACAAATAAATGGAAAGATATTATATGCTCTAGGATTGGAAGAATCAATATTGTTAAAATGTTCATACTACCCAAAGCAGCTTAAAGATTAAATGCAATCCCGGTCAAAATTCCAATGAGATTTTCACAGAAATACAAGAATCAATCTTAAAATTTGTATGGAACCACAACCACAAAACTCCCCAAATAGCCAAAGTCATCTTGAAAAAAGAAGAACAAAGCTGGAAGTATCGTGCTTCCTGACCTCAAACTATACTACAAAGCTATGGTAATCAAAAAAATATGACATTGGCGTGAAAAACAGCACATAGATCAACAGAACAGAATAGAGAGCCTGGAAATAAGCCCACACATATATGGTCAATTAATTTATGAGAAAGACACCAAAGATATAGAATGGGGAAAGGACAGTGTCTTCAATAAATGGTGTTGGTAAAACTGGACAGCCACCTGCAAAAGAATGAAACTGGGTAACCATCTTACATCCATAATCATGAAAAATGTTTTCTTCCTGAATATATATCATGTCATATTATAATTAAGTAATAGTTCTTATGTAATGAGTAGCATATTCCTGAGGGCGAACCGATCAGAAAAGATAAACTAACTGCAGTACAAGCAGATACCACTCAAGTAAGTTCAGGAAATGAACAATCGGGATATAAAGCATGCAGTATCTTCTAAAATAACCAAACAAGAGTTAAAATTAAAAGCAATTTAGTATCTCTTTGGCAATTTGCCCGGCAGTTCTTTCCTTCAAGGGGAGATTGGCCAATACATGGAGACACTATAGGTTAGAGGTATGTAACTAAAAACTGATGTTGAACCCTTAAATTCTAGACCAAATTCACTTCTGGTTTGAAGTTCAAAGATACTGTTTGTTCTGAAAGCATTTATTCTCTCCACTTTGCAACTGGTTAAAATTAGGTCTTGATTCAGGAATAGAACATACAGCTTTCACAAGATTACTTGTGGAAAAAAATTGAAAAAGATCTTGCAAGTTGTTTGGAAGTTTATTTTGTCTCAAACCATATAGATCTT